ACATTAAACGTTACTTGGAAATCAGAGCATTGTAACTCGTAGCTTTGTGAAGAGCGTGTGATCTTTCCTTTAAAAGGTTTTTTTTTTTTCATGTTATGATACACTTAGGGGTGCTTTAAAGAGATTTGATTTTCATTATGTTAGCATATGATCATTTCTTTATCTCTGTGGAAGATCTTAGGAACTGACACATAGCTAGAGACAGTCAAGAATCCTAGTGTTGCTGTGTACTGTTACCACTTTGTTGTCAGATATCAGATTGTAATATCTATAATATCTATAAACATCATCTGTTCCTGAACCAATGTTTGGGGTTTTTGTATTCTTTTGGTGACAGGAAGTAATGGAGATGCAACCACACAAGACTCTTCTCCTTCTCCTGTGGGCTCCTGGGGAACGAACCCCTTTCACATCAAGACAGTGAATGTTTCACCACAAACTCTATGGAATTAAATAGAAACTTCTCTCAGCCCTTTTTTGTCATGTGGGATCGGAGTCTCGGTACCAACTTGCCTTTATTCACTTGACGAAAGAGCACGCGGATGCTTTGAGGCAATGGCCAACCAAAGAATTCAAAGATGAGTAATCTTGTTTTGCCTTCTTAACATAAATGTCTTCTTGCTTTTGTTGTTCTTCTCTCCTCCACATATGGAAACTGACTAGTTACATGATTTTATTTTACTTCAATATTTTATATGAATATATATAAGTGATGGTTCAATTATTTTGAGAAGGATACAATACTTATCTTCAAGATCTGTATGATTCTTGGTTTTAAGCCCATACTATATTAGCTTTGATGTCTGGGATCATCATCATCTTGGTTTCATTTCTTGAAATCTAATTAGCCCATTTTGAATTAACTTACAGAGAAAGTTTCAATGAACTGGATAAGATCATTTGTGGTAAATTCAATCATTTCCCTTATGAGTAGGCTACAGAGATATACATCTTCTCTGCATTTATTGTCTTCGTAAGCACTTTGGTTCTTTTTTTCTCATATTTTCAACTAGCAATTAAGGTTTTTGTCTACCTTACTTTTATTTCAGACATACATGGCCTTTAGATGAGTTTCAGGACCAGATCTTAGATATGTTAGGTAAAATGACATTTTCATTTATTTAAGTTTCCTCATTAATAGCTCTTTATGTCAATCTCTTGTACGTTTGATTTAACCCTTTGAAGCTAAGACAAAACTCATATCTCTCCCTCTTGAGACTAAATCCAAAACTTGGTGGGGCCAATTTTTGGAATGTCTCTCTGTTTATTTTGCTGACTTTGAGATCTGTGTTTTTCACTCTCTAATCATTTTTCACTCTTTGAGTAAGTTTTTCTTTGGTGCAAGAGGTCTCTAAGAAACCCTTTAAAATTCATTTGATTTTCACATTGTGATCAAGAACTCAACAAGACATTATATAAGTTTATAAATCTTTCTCACTCGGTAGATATTATAGATAAAGAGAGATAAGAGATTGAAATCGTTTTCTTTTACTTTAGTGCAATCACTGACTATAAAGAAGAGATGATTGTGTGTGAGAAATCGAGCTGTTGCTGATCCTTCTTCGTGTTTCGAAACTTTTAGGTTTAGTAGTCTCCATTGGGAATCTTGGAACATAACTCGGTGTTGTCTTATTGATGCTGCTTCTTCTGTCTAAATCACCAGAAACCATAACAGATTTATGACTCTTGCAGCTCATCAAGAAACCACTGCCTCCGCTGCTACTCGATTTCCGTCTCTCCGGTGCTGATTTAGCGGTAATAGGGATTCTAGGAATCTGAGAAGATCGGTTTCTTCTTACGGGACTTGTTGCACATTCTGACATAACAGAGAAATCTGCTGCACTTGCTGTCACTATGCTCCATTCTACGCTTACTTCACTTGGCGCATAACACGTAGGTGAAGCCGGATCACTTCCTTGCCTTGTAAGAAAAGGTTTAGGGTTCCCTGTAAGACCCTCTATCTCAAAAAGATCCGAGCTTGAATCACTCCCTTCACTCTTTGTGTCTTCCTCCTCTGTTCTTGATTTCCATGGAGGCAAGGGGAGCTTCTTCTGAACAACGGTACTCTTCTTCTCAATAGTTACAGGAGATCCAAAAACTTCAAGAGACTTCCTCTGTGATAACTCTTCTTGCTTCTGAATCTTGATCAGTTCTGTGTTCATATCCACAGAAGATCTCATCTGATTTTCGTTCTTCCTCATTGCGATAACAGAGATATTCGGATCAGCGCTTCTCTTAACCGAGATTTTATCGTCGACATCTACTGAATTCCCATCAGAACAGGCGCATTTACACCCCAAATTTGCGAGAAAACTCTTCTTATTATTGCTCGCCTTTTGAATCTGACCATTACTGTTCTTCTTCTTCTCCTTGAAGGAACTGTTGCAGCTATTCACCAGTTTGTTTTGAAGCAACACGCTCTGGCTGTTCCAGCTTAATTCAGACCGGACACTCGGGGTTCCAGTAGATTTCTTCGCGCTCTGCTTCGAATCGACGATGGTTCTCTCAACTTCTGGGTTTGTCAGAGACAGAACACTAGAGCCTTGGTCTGAATCCATGTCTCCATTGAAGTACTTCTCAGCTCCAAACACACCAATCTCTGGATCTTCAGTAGCTTTCTTCACCATTTTCTTCTCATCGCCAAACTCTTGTTTTTGAATATTGATGCTCATGTTTAGGGTTTTGCTTGGTTCCATGAGGTTCTTGGTTGTGAGAACAGCATCTTCCTTGCTGCTCAAGTAAGAAGAAGAAGAAGGGGAAGAGGAAGAAACATAGAGACTGTGACTGTTGTTATTCTTCATGAAATCAAAAGATGTCTTTGGAGTTGAAGAAGAAGATGGTGTTAGTGTCACCATTTTCTTTTTGGTGGCTTTATATTTTTTCTCTTTTTCTTTCTTGTGTGTGGATATGTTGGAATTAGGGTATAAATAGAAAAACAAGACGAAATGTTTGATAGCTGTTTTTTTTTTCTGAAGCTAAAGTGTTATGATCTGATCAATGTGAGTGGGTTCCAGTTTGAGTCATTGGCCAGTTGTTGTTGTGTGTGAATTGATTTATTTTTCTATTTGGATAAAAATATTGGATGATAAATCTTTGCCAATCAATGGAAAATAATAGAAAAATAATGTTACCCCGTGACCACGAAAAAAAGGAATTATAATGACATGGTCTTAATTCGATTAAGACTTATTAATACAGTACTAGTAGTACTCACATTGCAACTGGATCTCTTAAATAGTTCAATACTTTTATATTGCTGCAGATTTCAGAAAGCATTCTTTAATTATTCGTTCAATATTCGTATTTTGTACGTAGACGTTTCGCACTACTATATGTTTTTAAGATTCCGATTTAAAACACATTTGCCACCATATTTTTGGGGCGGATTTTCTTTCAAAGTCCTTTTTTTTTTGTTCATTTACATCACAACCAATGAACATGTAGACATTACACGATATCTTATGCATCTCCTTACTTTTTCTTTTGTACGATATACTCATATACATTTAAGTGACTTCAGTTTTTTAACACCATAAGCATCGCCTAACTTGCAAATTAAATCCATGTCCTACAAAATATGTTTGTTTTGTTTTGCTAAAGGGTTCTCTTAATAATAATTACCATCATACGATTAACAAATTAATGACGATCGTTTTCAATAAGATTGGAAAATACTGTAAACGATTTGATTTTACCAATGGAGTGTTAAAGTGTTACATGAGACAAAGTAAATTAATGTATTGTTTTCTTAATTACTTCAAATGAAAGTATTGTTTCACATAATTAATAATGGGCTGACAATTTTTCGGACACACATTTTCAAAGACATATGTTAGGATTGAGCTGACAAGTGAATCTGAATTTACTTGTATTTTAATTTCTAACTTTTTCGATTAGAAAAGTAAAATCGAATCATTGAAAGAAAATACTATACTAGTGGATATGAATTTCACTTGAGGAACAAAGATACAAACATAGAAAGCACGAGGGATGTCGTAAAGTATTTTGTTGCATGGGGAGATATTGACAAAGACCATCGAGTTGGGTTTTGTTAAATATAGTCATATTTTATGTAATGGTTTGACGTACGCTCTATAATTTAAGTGTAATATATATTAGAAAATTCATGGGATCGTATCTTGTCATATAATACATATCAAATAATTGTAAAGTAATCTCTATTATTTTTGTTAAATAACATAATGAAAGTTTTAATAAATACAAACCTATATAAAATCCATGTATCTGTCAATCAAGGAACTTGTGTAATGTAGTTAATAAAATATGTTAATTAGTTGTTGTTGTCGACGTATCACGTATGAATGGTTTGCATTTGAAGCTTGATATCTCACAGCATACGTGTTTGATTCTCAACCTCACTTTTTTCGTCCAACAAAATGATCATTGGATGAATCATGTGATTAGTAATTAATTTTTTATCTTATCATTACAAAGATTCACCACTAGTACGACTGCAAATATCAAAAATTAATTATACCAAAACGGTATGGGGGTATCACCAATCTATTATATGTATTACGAACACTTTTTTTTCTGTTTAAGTTTTTTTTTTTTCCGTTTTATGTCACCAATCCAATTTATTACTTCCTAACACTTTTTCTCCATTGACAAAAAAAACAAATGGGGATTCAAACTAACTCGTCTTAATTACATTTTTTTTTTACTTTTAAAAGCTCTAAAAGATCGAGTCAAAGTTTTTGTTGTTGTGATAAGGTAATGCTCCGCTGATCATTCGTACAGTAGTTCATTTAGTTTGTATCCTTCCAAATATTGGAAATTTGGAATCCAAATTTGGTTTATGTATTATATATGTTTGATATTAAAATATTAGGTGGCTTTCTCTTAAACCTACAATGATTTTTGTTGTGGGAATGTGTGTGTTTGTTGTTACAGTTACTCGCTTTCAAGCTACGAGCCACAACTTGGAAATGTTTATGCATTTAGAGGTTAACACAGAGGTTAATCAATTTGCTGTTGGTGATAAGTTCACACTCTCTTGTTTGATCTGTTTTGGGTATATACACACTCTCTTGACCTCGATGGCTGTTCTTAGCTGTTTTGTTTCTGTTTTTGATTTTATCCTTGTCCATATGTGATGAATTGGTTTTACAGGATGCGTTTTATGCAATGGTGATGTGCCGTGTTGTAGTCAACTGGAGTTGGAGGAATCAAGATTGTGAATACGCCTTGGTGAATATATGTATCTTTAGAAGTTTCTAAGTAGAAAAAAATTGTGATATGTATTGTTGTTCTTCATTAAATACAAATCCTTTTGGTCTCTTAATAAAAATTATTATTATTATTATTATTGATTGTTTTGGGTGTTTGTAAATTAAATTAGAGCTCCTATTAATAAAAATCAAAATGCAAAATTCAAATCCACATATTATGAATAATAGATTTATAACAAAATTGAAATGTTATTGTAGAGTATACGATAGCAGAGATAAATCCGCTATTAATATTTTAATTTAGATAGCACATACAAAAAGCGCTATCTAAAGTTGCCGACCTATTGTCGCGGTCGATGATATAGCGTTTCTAAATACGCTACGCTTGCGATAAATAGCGTTTTTTTACGCTATCAATGCTTGATTTTCTTGTAGTGAACTAAATGCCAAATGTATACTTGGTATAATAGAGTCAATAACAAAGTCTTTAAACTTTCTTGATGTTTAGGTCTATTAAACAAAGTTGCATAAAGAGTTATATATAAAAAAACAAAAAAAGTTGAATGTTTATTCTTCGAGCGTAATTGGTCTTCTTATTCTATTGTCAAATCTTTATTGATCTTGAAGATTTGGTCATGAAAAATGCACGTTTATCATAAATTATATTTATCTATATATACAAAAAAATGTCAGAAATTAAAAATTGTTTAAATATTTAATTCTTTTGAATATTCCACTCGGCCGCTTAAGGCACGGATAATTCCCCTAGTATATCTTTAAAATCTTACCGAAAAAATCGAATGTAGAAAAAGAAACATCAGATTTAAGCAATATTTTAGGACCAAAATTGTTTTTTAAGAATTTAATTAATGTCTTTTTTTTTTAGATTTCCTTAATAGAGTTATCCAGGATCCGAACACATTAAAACCGGGTCAAAACCCGACCCAAATAAATTAAAAGCAAAAAACATAGATATATATAAATCCCTAATTATTCTGCCACCGAAAATCCTGAACGCAATATTCTCCTTCATCACCCTCTTCGTCTACTTCTTCTTCATCAACGATTTAGGGTTTCCTTTTTCAATCACAATTACGATGGATACGAGAAGGATAATCTGCAACGAGTGTGAAAACGACGCTTTTGAATTAGAAGACGGTTTTTTCTACTGTCAACGGTGCAGTGTTCGGGTTGAAGGTATAATCCAAACCGTCGTCATAGACGAAGATGATTTCATCAATGAAGTTGCATGGTCCATACCAACAAATGCATGGAGATCACCGCCAGCGTCGAGATGGACGGTAGAGATGTTGCCAAATATTACAGTAGTGATGGTGGAGAAAGGAGAGTGTGTGATATGTTTGGAGGAATGGAGCAAAGGTGATATGGAGACGGAGCTGCCATGTAAACACAAGTATCACTTGAAGTGTGTGAAGAAGTGGTTGGAGATTCACTCCACGTGTCCTCAATGTAGATACGAGATGATGCCTCTTGAAGGTGAAGTTGTTGGTGTTAGCGTTGATCCGGTCGGGGCGGGGGTAAGCTTGTGAAGAAGCGAGCTTATATCCCCCCAAAAAAACCAATCCTATAGCGCTAGCGCTTCGCGTTCTTTCTATTTTATCTCATTTCATTCCGGGATGATGATGATAATTATTATGATTCTGATTGAGATGAATGATTTTTCAACTTTTTTTTTGGTTTTGTTTTGTTTTTCATAGATAAGTGAATTTTCTTTTCATTAAAATGCATGGTTAGAACAAATCCATAACTGAGGATCGTAATCCCTTTAAACTTAACCTAATTGACTTTCAAGTACTATTGTCCAAGATTATGGTTTTGACTTTTGAGGATGTATAATTTTGGTTTTGACTCAACTTACAGTAATTAGCAAATGCCAACAATATATAGGAGAGAGTTAGAAGTCTCTAGATTCCGAAACAAGAAACACAATCTATTCGAATCAATGGATCATTCATCCTTGTGAATGGACACATATATATATTGAATAGATAATCAATTTAGGTGATGATAACTCAAAATGTTTTTGTGATTCATTGATGTAACCTTGGAAGCAACTTTCTTAATCATCTAGGTTCTTAATTACACAAATAAGGGATAAGAGAAAACTAAGAGAATCCTGGCACAATATCAATATGAAATGCTTAATCATCAAACCAAACCAAGAAGTGAGCTCAAGAACTCTGGTAAATGAGAATATACCACTAAAATTAGTTACCATGTTACTTCAGAGTTTTCCCAAACAGATAAATGAACCAGCATACAATTTTGAGGGTAAAATTAAAAAAAAATAGAAAGTTTGAGGGGCTCTTTTGCAATTTTTCTAAAATCAAAACCCCTAATTAGTAATTACTCTTCCGCCGCCAAATCCTAAACCCCCGAAGCAAAGTTTCGCCGACAGAAATTTGAACGCAAATTTTCTCCTCCTTCTTCGTCTACTTCTTCGTCTTCATCAATCTGATTTAGGGTTTCCTTATTCCCTCCCAAAGTTTCTTCCTTTTTCTTTCTAATCCCTTCAATTACAATGCTCTGCAGAGAGTGCGACAACGACGCCTTTGACGAAGAAGACGACGGATATTTCTACTGCAAACGATGCGGTGTTCAGGCTGAAGATCTTATCCAAACCGGCGTCGACGACGGCGATTTAATCGGTGATGGTGGAGGTACTCATGGCGCAATTTATGACCCCAGATATCGCCGTACTATAACACAACCAATCACTCCTTCACAGCCTCGTTACACAGATGACACAATACGTTACACTCATTTTAAATCTCAGCTTGAATCTGAAATCGAGAAGAAGAAGGATTTGCCCCGTGAAGTGAAGAGAGAGCCTGAGATTTATCTCGAGAAAGAGCCAACGGAGCCTGTGGATTTTGGAGCAGAGACTTTAAGTTATGAGGATTATTACGATGAAGCAAGAGATAGATATGTTAAAGCTTTTCTTATGATGATTACTTATCAGTGTGATGCTTTGGTTGACAAGTTTAATGTCACTCCTTTGATTATTGGTTTGGTTGGACCTATCTCTTTACGTTACGTGGCTCTCTCTGGCGTTTACGATGATGATTGGGCGGATAAAGCCATTCGTGATTCCGAACTTCAATCAGAAGATGGTAGAAATCTATTGAAATTTGTTGGTATCATTCTATTGTTTGGTGTGATTCTATTTGTTACTTAGTCTCACTCTTTTTGGTGTCTCGCAGGTGAAGTAAAAGATGCTAAGCGGCCTAAAACACAGAAAGCCGAGCCTCGTAACTTAGATGGTAAAAGAGCAGTGACGATATGGGTTAGTCTGCTTAAAAAGACTCTGCCTTTATCGAGTTCTTTGGCGATATCTTTTCTTGCTTGTCACCATGCGGGAGCACCTGTTTTACCTACGGATATTGTGAGATGGGCACGAGAAGGAAAGCTTCCGTATTTGTCTTGTTTTATCGATATTCGAGAGCAAATGGGAGAGCGATCAGCTGCGTGTCCGGTGAAAGCAAGCATAATGTCTAGGCCTTTTCAGATTATTTCTGCTCAGATGTTAGAAGCACGAGCCGCTTGCATTGCTGATATTATTGGTTTGCCTTTGTCTCCTGTAAATTTCTATGGTATAGCTTCAAACTATATAAAGCGGTTATCTATTCCTGAGGATAAGATTCTTGAACTGGTGCGTCTTATACAGAACTGGTCACTGCCTCCAGAATTGTATCTATCGAAGAATGAGCTGAAGCTTCCTACCCGGGTGTGTGTCATGTCTATTCTAATTGTAGCTATACGGATGCTTTATAACATAAATGGTTTAGGTCTGTGGGAACGGAGTTTGGAGTTTGTTAATGCTAGTGAGGCAGATATCGATTTCGAAGAGTTTGATTCTCCAGTTCATGATGAGGAGGTTTCAAATACAAATTCAGGTACTGCAGAGTTGTCAGATGTCACGAAAGCAACCAAATTCGATACCGAGGAGCTTCTGAAGAACCTTGAAGCTAAATATTATGAGGTCGCTGCAGAAACCCTTGAATCCGAGAAGGATCTGCTGTCATATCTATCGCTCGGGAAAAACGAGTTCTTTGCTGGTTTGGAAGAAGATTTACCTGACGATACATACAGAACTGTTGACAACCTGTGGAATGGTTATCCAAAAGATGAGGTAATATTATGCTTCAAATTCTTATTAGGATAATCTGAAGCACTTAGTTCTTCAGAGGTTGAATACGAACTGTCTCTTTTACATGTATTTTGTAGGATTTCGAACGGTGTAGGACTCCACCCAAGAGGGGGAGAGACTGGGATGATGATGTATCACTTAACCAACTTTCATTAGAAGATAGCAAATTTAGCGATGGAAACAATCCTTGTAGTAGCCCTTCAAGGAGAAACGAAAGTGTATCAATGGATCGTGATTTATCTTCTTCAGAACACGGAGAATCATCATCACCAGAGAATCATCATCATCAAGAAGAGAAATTAAAGGAGAGAGCGATAAAAAGACTAATAACAGACATGGGAGATAACTTGTTCTGTTACATACCACCTCGTGTGAAGGTAAAGAGACTAGATTATCTACAATATGTGAGGAAAAAAGAAGATGGAGCATTGATATACACGGCTCACGCAGATTACTACATTCTTTTGCGGGTTTGTGCTAAGGTAGCTGAGATTGATGTGAGGAATATGCATAGAGGTGTGTTGAGCTTTGAGAGGAGATTGGCTTGGATTGAGAAAAGGATAGATCAGGTTTTGCATCTACCTCCACCTTTTATGACATGTGACCACTGTTGTGATGGTGGGAATGCTGGAGAAGATCAAGATGATTCATAGTTTCATACACTAACACACTTTGTTTATAAATTTTTGTTGTAATATGTTCATAGTATTTTCTGTAATCTTGTAAATCGAATTAAACCAAATTATTTATAATTAATCGTTTCTTGTGCTCTTCCTTAAGTTTCTATTTATAGAAAATACACTCAAATTTCAAGACAATATTTGAATTTGAAAAGAAATAAAACATAATATACAAATTTGTTCAAAAGCTATTGACATTTTTGGCTACAGGTAAAAAATGAAGGAACTCATTTGGAATGAGATATAACATTCCAAGAACTCAAATGATTTCAATCATTTACTCATACAACATTCTAAATTTACAGACAGCAAATTCTTCATTCGATTTCCCTCGTACCTCGTAATGGCTCCATAGTTATGACATTAGATCAGAATTCAGACAGGATCGTCATGCTGTTGTTGTGTAGATGTAGTCGCATGAGCCATGGAGGATGAAGGTATTCCCGGTGATACCGTGAAGTGAACTGTTCTAGGCTGCCCTGACTGAAGCACCAACGCAAACTGTGTAGCCAAAGCTGCAGCTTCCTGTTCAATCGGGTTCCATTAAGTCGAGATTCAGTTTGATTCACACGAAAGTGAGGAAAAATAAAGATTGTCCGGAAAATTTCTTGCATGAGTTCTTATACTAACCTGTCTTTGTCTTCGGCGCTGTAGAATACTGATAGCCCAAGCCATGATATAGCATGGAAGAAGAAATCCCGCAGCTCGGAGCAAGACAAGCTACAATAAGAATCAGACAATTTTGTGGTTTTTTGGTGTTAGAACTTACATGCAACTTCCAATTTTGTAAGCATGAATTGCATGAGACAAAAAAGAAAAAGTAAAAAAGGAAGAAGCTTCAATCAGCTTACAGATAGTATCGAGGATGGGTCGTCTTCTTCTCCATCAGCATCATCTGTTATGGTCAGTGCGTGTCGTAAGAGAAGAAGAGCCATTAACTGTGAAAAAGAAAAGTGTGTTTGGGGTTATCACAAGGGAGGTCTTACTATTAGAAGCTTAACAGAAATCTGTCAAGAAGCTTTAAGGCTTACTATTAGAGCAGCTGAGCGACAGAATGCGGCCCCGCTGGCACTTGAAGCTGTATATTCCACATATTCAGACTCTAAATACCGACGTTCAGCTTCAGCAATAGCAAGGAGCCGAGGATCATGCACATCCAAACCTGAGATTGTCCATCCTCCTCTGCAACACACATGCCAAAGTCAGAAACAAATATAATTAAGCAACCTCAAATAAAATTCTGAGCAACAGAAACATGAAATTAACCATACCCAATGTCAATAGTTGTTTCTTCAGGCTGAAGTGGAGGTGGTGGAGCTGTATATCCAGGTTGGTAAGACTAGTAATAAGAGACGTTAAAGACCATCAGATATTAAAAAACCCCTGTCAGAGTTACATTGAGAATTCTACAATCCTAAAGATTACAACAAATTGGTAACATACCTGATGACAAATCTCGCATATAATGTTTCCCTTTTCATTGCACCAACGCTGAACACATTTTCTATGAGCATACTGGTAAAAAAAACATAACAAAAAATCCATCAACAATCCATTAGTCTAGAACAAAGCCATTGCTCAATTTCAGTTACATTTTAACAAATTCATCAATATAATAGACCAAATGGTTTAAGAATTAGATGATGATGATGATGAAAACTAACCTTTAGGCTGCCACTGCAAGCACAAGGACTCTCAAGATTCTCAACAGGAGATTCATCAGAACAAATACGACATTCCGCAGAAACAATTAGCGGTTCATTCTCATCATCATCATCATCAGATATATCAATCGCTTTCTCATGAACCACCGGCGACTCTGATCTCATCTCCTCAACCTCCGCATTAACCGGAGACAACGGTACCGGAAGCATCAATCCATCCACATTTACCACCATATGACTTCTGCTGCTACTCTCAGTTAATAAACCTATCATTTTCCTTCCTCCAAACTATTCCACAAAAATCAAACAATAAAACCCTAACGAAATCAGAACCATATGAAATCTAATCTAATCGATCGGGCATAATCGGAACCACATAACCAATAATCTTTCCGGCGATCAAATCGGAGATAGAAATCAGAAAAGAACGATTCAAAACTTTTAAAACTCGGATTTAAGATAGAGAATCGAAGAAAATCATCATCACCTGTAGAAATGTTGTTTATAGCGATCTCGTCTCTGATTTAGGAGGAGAGAATCTGGAGAAAGAATAACCAGAGAGACGAGAGAGAGAGAGAGACGAGAAGAGAAGAACTTTTTTGGTGAAAGCTCTCCCAGAAAAGTTTCTGAGGCAGATGGAAACTTTTTCACAAGATTTTCCCGCAAATCGAGCTATTATAGAAAATTCGCTTTTTATATCGGAATAAAAGAATAAAATGAAAAATAACGACGTGTAAGAAAAAGTTAGTGGCCGTTGACCAAAGCAATTTTGTAATTACACAGATTTTTAAGGGTATTTACGGTATTTTAGAGACTTTGCCGCGCTGTAACGTTAACGACGTGTTCTTTGTAGGATAACATTCATTAATTAATTGTTTATTTAATCTCTTGATTACAATAATGATGTACAAAAAAAAAATTCCACCGGAATAATGTGATTTATAAATCATGTTTTCATGATGATTGGGCAATGCATGATCTAGTTGCTCAATGACAAACCCAGGCATAATTATTGAATATATTTAAGCTTAATTATAACTTGATATTCAAAGTGGGAGGATAATTGTCTTATAAGATAAAATTCTAGTCACATAATAATACCATGCACTTTGTTGCACGACTATGGAAATCAGGAAATAGCTTACGAGTTACGACGACTATGGAAGACAAGTAATCCTTTATGGCTTTATCAACCAAAAAACTTACAGATTTATAATGAGATTTTTCTTATAATAAGTTAAATTACAACTACGAGACAATGATTTTATTAGTCAAACGAATAAAGATTAGTTGAGACAAGTACACATTGAAAAGTATTTTGATACTTAAAAACAGACGATTAAATTACTACATCAACATCTAAGAAGACTATTGAAGAAGACTTGAATGATTCCAAAAGTAGACGTATCATTTTTTATAAAAATAAAACTATATTATCGAGGTTAAAAATTATATTTTGACCATACAAGTGTTAATAATCTAAACAGGACTTCATTGCGGACCCTTCTAAAACATAGAAATTACGCATAAACCCCCACACAATATACGAATTTACTCATCTACCCCCATCATTCCCAGTAAAATGGAAATTGCTAAGCCGTTGATAACTTGATATCACTCAGATGCTGGCTTACTTTATCTCCACTCCATTAGAAACTTTCACAATCAAAAGCTTTTTGAGAGGCAAGAATCTTGCGCAAAACGGGTTTAAACCAAGATCATCTAATCCGAGTGACTATGTACCGACCTTTCTCAAGGTCGTAAATCGTTTTCAGCTGCGGTTTTCTCCACTTAGTTACCAAATATACTAAAGCTGTCATAAGGATCGGTATCCCGATGATATAGTGAAGCAGCTTCGAGTCATGACTGAACAGAGCATGGAACCAATGGAGGTTATCAGAGGATGAATGTTGAGAGGTCTCTGTTGCAGTCTGTAGAATGAATGCACCTAAAGCCCAATCGAGCGGTATATCTCCTGCTTGATTCGCAAATCCGATTCTGCCCCAAAAAACGGTTTTTGATTGATTGATTGAATCATGTTTACAAGAATTTTAAACCATTAATCTAAGTATTTGGTTAGGGTTCTTGAATTTTACCAACATACCTTTCATCATCAAGAGGAATGCCAAATGTATCGTGAAGCAATGACACAATATATGCAGATGAGAAACAGTACCGAAGAATATCCTCTTCATCGAGTGATGGGTCTTTTACTCTCAACTTCGACCAATCTTCTCCACAGAATCTCTCTCCGGCTGAAATCATTTTAGACAGCCACGCCTTTTCTCCCAACCCAAAGAACTGGTATATGATACAAATACCATGTTTATAACACTCTAGAAATAGAAGGGACATTGTGTTGTTGGACTAACTGGGTTCCTTATATATACATTAGGAGCGTGAGAGAAAGGAGTACCTTAGAGGTGTAAAAGAAGTTTTCTGTAGCTAAAAATCTTCCTCGAAGCTTAGGCGTGAAAGTTGATCCAATAGAACAATGCTGATACGAGCACTTCTCTGCACTCAAAAGTAGAAATCTGTATCTATTAGAGACAACAAAAAAACCGACACAAGGAATGGAAATCAAGAGATATCGCCTAATATTCTACCGTTTCCTTCTTGCAAGATATTTAGTGCAGCAGATCGACACTGTGAGTAATTACCCCCAGCTTGAAAAGAATCTGAGATTCTGCTTTCTTCAGCTAAAAGTCCAGACAAATGCTTCTGTGTGTTTGCATCGAGGTTATACCCTCTTGGAGCACAAGGGTCTGTAAATATTTTTTCCCGTGTAGATTCCATAGCTTCAAGAAATGAAACACTGTATGAGTGGGAATGAAAAGAAACTTTTTGCTATTGACTTGAAAACGTAATCTGAATTTTAGAAAACTTCAATCAATAATTTGATAATCCATCAATTATACATATAAAATCATCAACAGCTTACCTGGATTATGGTCTCTTAAGAGAAGTGAACCCCATAACTTATCATGTGCAGCATTCTAAAATGGAAAAAAAAAGTTAGTAGCCTCGAGTACATTGCCAAAAGATAAAATCCTTCATTCTAAAGAACTCAGGGAGGGAAACAAAAGATCAGAAACAATAGTCACGGAGACAATTGTTTGGTCAGTTGGATTAAGTTTCCATTCAACGATTTTAAAAAGGAATAAACTTGTTCCTTGTGTCAAGTTGTGAAACCTATTCCAAACACATATACTGCTAAATAGAATGTACCTGCCCAAAATGAAGGAAGCTGTGACTGTAGAGATTGTATGAAACATTTCCAAATGATATTGTACGTGAGAACTCAGGAGGCATTGGCTCACTAGACACAAATGTCACCTAAAAGAACATACAAACTATCATCGTCTGTTGCAGGATACCTTTTGAACTCAAGCATAAATCTGAAAGGAAAAAAAAAATAAACCTGAGCAGAAGCCCCGCCGAGTTCAACAATCCCGGTTGTTTTAAGAGGATCAGCGCCAAGTGAACCGAGAGCAAAGTTTGCAACAACCCAAGCATATACACCTTCGTCAGATCCTGGAAAGTAGTATCTAATGATCAGCGCTCCTAATTACTGATGGATTGAATATAAATTACATTCAGCTAGCTAGTAAAACAAGAGAAACAAACTCTCAAATCAAAATCCTTCTCGTATCTAAACATCTCCCAAGGTTCTAACCAAAACGCAATTGTAGATTGTTCATCGATCTAACTCAAAAATTCAACAATGGCATTATATAAAAAGACTCACTTGAACTAAAGAATACATTTTGAAAACTCACCAGATATAACAGAAGCCCATTCATCACGAAACAAGAACCCAGAAGATTTAAGAACTCTTCTAGCAACTCCCAGAATCTTCTCCTGAACAGGTAATTCAAGCAATCTCATTCCCGCCGTCGCCATTAACCTAACTTCAGTCTCCATCCACATTCCTTTCGGAATCCTCCCTTTCGCAAACTCAACCAGCTCCGTCAATGACACACTCGCTCCATCAGGATCATCAGCAAACGCCGATAAACCAGGATGCAACTTCAAACTAGCGTAATTCGCTCCTCTGAATTCAAAAACCGGTTTACCCGACTCAATCCGGTACCCAAACACATGGATTCGTGTCCCTGTACTTCCACCGTCGATCACGACGCTATAACGAAGCGATCCTCTCAGATTACCACCGGAGAACAAAATTGAATAGAATAGAAAGAGAAACCCAAACACTATAGATATAGAAGCAACGGTTAACATGAGATTCGATTTCGCGTGTTTTGAATTCGATTTCGTTAGCGTGTAGGTCGATGAAGAAGACGATGCTCGGTTCCCAGAACGGATCTGGAACTTAATCGGATCCATATCGGTTTTACTACTATTCTTCACCCTAGAACGGGCATGAGATCGTCGCATCAACAATTCAGAAACCGCCACGAGAACGAAGAACAAAGAATCATAAGATCTGGAAGAATTCAAATATGGAAAAATCAAAGTAAATCAAAAGTTAATATTTAATTTTCGTGAATTTTCGAATTTTCTTCTTTTTTTTGAAGCTTTTTTATTCAACCGAGAATAATGGAGATTGAGAGGGCCGACGTGAACCAGCGCCGGTGAAGCTCGTCGCCGCTCTCAAGTCTCCGATGTCGTTCTCGGTGATAGAAAAAAATAAAAAATAAAAGAGATTAAAAGCAAAATTAAATTGGAAAATAAATTGGTCGTTGTAGCGCCTTTTACGATTTTTATACCTAATTATTAAATTACAACTCGGGTCGGGTAAGGTCAAGTCGGGTCGGGGCTTATCGTTATCCTCAAGATTTGACAGTTAAACAACGAGAAGCTCAAATTCAGAGCTTTAATGGCGATATCTTCTGCTTCACTAATATCATCATTCTCACACGCAGAAACTTTTACTAAACCTTTAAAAATCGACACTGTGAATCCGAATCCACCAAACCCGATTCTTCTAATTTCCAAATGCAATTCTGAAAGAGAGCTGATGCAAATTCAAGCTTACGCGATCAAATCTCATCAAGAAGATGTTTCCTTCAACACTAAGCTGATAAATTTCTGCACTGAGTCTCCAACGGAGTCTTCAATGTCATACGCACGCCACTTGTTCGACGCAATGTCTGAACCAGATATAGTGATTTTTAATTCTATAGCTCGTGGGTATTCTCGCTCCACGAATCCTCTTGAGGTGTTTAATCTCTTCGTTGAGATCTTAGAAGATGATCTTTTACCTGATAACTATACTTTCCCGTCTCTTCTCAAAGCTTGTGCAGTGGCAAAGGCATTAGAAGAAGGTAGACAATTGCATTGTCTGTCGATGAAATTAGGGGTTGATGATAATGTATATGTTTGCCCTACGCTTATTAATATGTACACTGAGTGTGAAGATGTGGATGCTGCTCGTTGTGTGTTTGATAGGATTGTTGAGCCGTGCGTTGTTTGTTATAATGCTATGATCACGGGGTACGCGAGAAGAAACAGACCGAATGAGGCTTTATCTTTGTTCCGTGAAATGCAAGGTAAGAACTTGAAGCCGAACGAGATTACCCTTTTGAGTGTTCTGTCTTCTTGTGCTCTGTTGGGATCGTTAGATTTAGGGAAATGGATACATGAGTATGCTAAGAAACACGGTTTCTGTAAGTATGTGAAAGTAAATACAGCTTTGATCGATATGTTTGCGAAATGTGGTAGCTTGGATGATGCAGTGTCTATATTTGAAAATATGAGGTATAAGGATACTCAAGCTTGGTCAGCGATGATTGTAGCTTATGCGAATCACGGACAAGCTGAGAATTCCATGTTAATGTTTGAGAGAATGAGATCTGAAAATGTTCAGCCTGATGAGATCACGTTTCTCGGTCTGTTAAACGCTTGCAGCCACACAGGTCTAGTGGAAGAGGGGCGCGAGTATTTTTCATGGATGGTTCACGAATTTGGGATTGTTCCGAGTATTAAGCATTACGGTTCTATGGTAGATCTTCTTGGTAGAGCTGGACATTTAGAAGATGCATATGAATTCATTGATAAGCTCCCGATAAGTCCAACACCGATGTTATGGAGGATTCTTTTAGCTGCTTGTAGTAGCCATAACAATTTGGAGCTAGCTGAAAAGGTTAGCGAAAGGATCTTAGAGCTAGATGATTCGCACGGTGGCGACTACGTGATTTTATCAAATCTATACGCGAGAAACAAGAAATGGGAAGCTGTAGATTCTTTAAGAAAGGTAATGAAGGATCGAAAGGCGGTTAAAGTTCCCGGGTGCAGCTCGATTGAGGTAAACAATGTAGTTCATGAGTTTTTCTCAGGGGATGGTGTGAAGTCTGCAACCACAAAGCTTCACAGAGCATTAGATGAAATGGTGAAAGAGCTAAAGCTTGCAGGTTATGTTCCTGATACATCAATGGTGGTTCACGCTGATATGGGTGACCAAGAGAAGGAGATTACGCTTAGGTATCATAGCGAAAAGCTTGCGATAGCATTTGGGTTATTGAATACTCCTCCGGGAACAACGATTCGGGTTGTGAAGAATCTCAGGGTGTGTAGAGATTGCCACAGTGCAGCTAAGTTGATCTCTCTAATATTTGGTAGGAAAGTTGTTCTTAGAGATGTTCAAAGGTTTCATCATTTTGAAGATGGTAAATGTTCTTGTAGGGATTTTTGGTGACGTCACTCCAGACCAACAACATAATTTTCCGTAGCTAAAAAAACATATAATTGTAATTTCTTATAGTTTTATGCATTGATTCAAAAGCTAATTTGAACTGAAGTAAACAAGAAAAATTGAAATTACATTGGAATTAAAAAGTCCAAATTATTGGTTCTTTGTTATTTTCAAGAAGCAATAAAGATTAAACAATTCGTTGACTAGTAAGTATGATCAACATTGTGATAAAGTTTAAAACACATCACATCATTAATAACAACTAGGAAAAATACAGTTCACTTATCGTCTACTATTAAAACACTTCTTCTATGGGAGCAAATAAAAATTGTCGGCAACGACCCGGGACCAATAATATTCCGTATTTGAGTTCAAACTGAGTTATTTTATTTTGTGAAATTTTGCTAAATTCTTAGTTATAATGTTAGTTAAGTAAATAGTATTGTTAAGTTGTTATCAGCAAATGAAAAAAACTTAGCTCAATTTTGGTATGTCAACACTCATTTATTTGATGAGACAAAATTATCTATCTATTTCCATTAGCTTAATTATCATCTTATCTATTGCTTAATGCAATTCCTTTATTTGTTAGATAAAATCTTAATAAAATTAGTATCAATTATTAGATTAGATAAGTTATAATAATTGGGCTTCTTAAAAACACGTAAATATAAAAATTATTGGGCCGTTACGAGCATACAAAACGAACCTTCTAACCAAATAAGTGTGAACGTTACGACTTCAAAATAAAAAAACACAACTATGTCCACACGTAATCTCATAACTTGATCCAGATTCCAAGAAGAACAAAATTAAAAACAAATCTCGTAAATATACATACACTTCACATAAAAAAGGTATATACCATAAATCTCCCAGATTCTCTTGATGTATCTCAGTATCTGTCCATTTCATTATTACACAAACTAAGAAACTAAAATCTCTCTGTTCACACTCCTCTGATTTTTTCCTTTATATACATTCACCCATTAACCATCTCAATCTTATAACTTCAAAATCACAATCATCTCTTACAAAAAAAAATAAAAGTTGTTTCATTTTGAAAAGATGAAGATTCTTCTAGCATCATTGTGTGTGATCAGTCTTCTCGTAATCTTGCCTTCTGTCTTCTCTGCTTCTTCTTCCTCTGAAGATTTCGATTTCTTCTACTTCGTCCAACAAGTAACTAAACCATTACTAATCATCATCATCTAAGAATGTTTATAATGATTTTCTTAACTTTTTTTTCTGATATTGTTTTGTGTTTTATTTTAAAAGTGGCCAGGATCATATTGTGACACACAGAAGAAGTGTTGTTATCCAACTACAGGCAAACCAGCTGCTGATTTTGGAATTCATGGTCTTTGGCCTAATTACAAAGATGGCACTTATCCATCTAACTGTGACGAGACTAAACCATTCGATAGATCAACGGTAATAAGATCAAACATTTCTGTTTTCAGGTCAAAAGTATGGTATAAGATCAACATTGGTGTTTAGATTATAGATCAATTTGGCTCAAAGTTTTGTTATGAATGGTTTAAAGATTCCAAAAAATGGAAAATTTTGAGACATAACCGGTTGGTTTGATTTGGTTTGGTACAGATATCAGATCTTTTAACATCAATGAAGAAGAGCTGGCCAACATTGGCTTGCCCGAGCGGTTCAGGTGAAGCGTTTTGGGAACATGAATGGGAGAAGCATGGTACTTGCTCCGAATCGGTTATCGATCAACATGAGTATTTCCAAACCGCTCTTAAGCTTAAACAGAAAACCAATCTCCTTGGAGCTCTAACCAAAGCCGGTACGTTTTAGTTTCAGTTATCTTTTTATTTTCCCGGTTTGTATCTCATTGGTCTAATTATTATTGGTTTATATGTGTAGGGATTAATCCGGATGGAAAATCATACTCTTTGGAGAGCATAAGAGATTCGATAAAAGAGTCAATTGGTTTCACTCCTTGGGTTGAGTGTAACAGAGATGGTTCTGGTAACAGCCAATTGTACCAAGTCTATCTTTGTGTTGACCGGTCTGGTTCCGGTTTAATTCAATGTCCGGTTTTCCCTCATGGAAAATGTGGAGCCGAGATCGAATTCCCTTCTTTTTAATTTCTAATTTCACAGTCTCTTGAACGGAAACCGATCTTTTGTTCATGGAGATTGGTTTGGTCAAAGAGAGAGTATGTAATAAAATTTTATGGGTTGCTATTGGATAATGATATAGTTCAATTTCAAGAATATTGTATTTTTTTATATATAGTATATGCTTTTAATAGTTTCACGGTCACAACAAACTGTCTCTTTTTATATATAAACTAGATAAATATTGAGAAATTTACCAAAAAAATATTACACAAAATCTGCATCCAATCTATTAAAACAGACTGATTATACAAAGTTAATGAATCTTAAAAACAAAATTAGAATATTTGCATCACTTCTCCAAGAAGGATTGGTATGACTTATTGAATTTGTTTAGGATCAATTAGCCCAATAACCATTTTAGATAAAAATATAAAGAATATAACACCATAATTCAAATAAATAATAATCTACAATAAAGGTGGGCACAATGACATTTTTGGTGTTGCTAGAGGAAGAGAAGCGACAATTATCAACATCCATCGTCGGGGAGAAAAAGAAAGTGTCAATTTTTTTTTTTACTTTTGAGAGCTTGAGTGGATAAAAAACAATGGAAGGGTAAAATGGTAACCGCGTTTTATGGTGTGGGAGAAGTGCGGTATTATAGTGCGGTACGGTTCAACTACGGGACGTGCGGGAGAAATATATTTGCGGGATAAAACACGTTCCCTAAGAATTTCCTAAGAGAAATACGAAAAGGATTATCAATCTAAGAAATTCCTAAAAGAAATAGGAAAAATATTATCAATCAATTCATATAAATAGGAACTCTTGGACTGTTACGATAACAAACTCTAAATCTTTTTTTCTTTGTTCTTCATTGATGTCTCTAATATCAAGATTCTGCGGTACTCTTGATGAATGGTGTAATGGCTATGGAAGATTCGTGAACCAGCTATGAGGAGGTTCACTTCAATTCCTGGCTATTGTCACCGTGGTCTCCGGAATATACTTGTTTTCTTCAAGCAAAATTACCAGCGAAGGTGATGATACTATCTACGTCATCTACGTCATTGGTTTACTTTACCTCGTCAAAATTATTTGGTACATCCGGTACAGAAGAAGCGCAGACCCAATTCCTCCGGTGCCGGTCAAATTCCCCAATCTATGCTGCTTCATTCTATCGGTCAATTATGTGGCGTGATTGGCGTTCTTCTTCACATACGACGAACCAATAAAATCATTGCGAAACGAATACATACCATGGATATGTGTATCGGCGTATGTACACATATTGGTGGTTCTTGCGATATTTCGCTTGAAAGATGATTATGAATTTTCTGATGGCTTCTTAGTCGTAGCGTACTCTCTTTTGTTCCCGATGTATGCTACCAATTGTATGTATGATTTACTTTGTACAAATTTTTCACTTAATGAAGGTTTCACAAAAACATTTGTTGAAGGGTTATTGTATTTTTGTTTGCGAAATCATTCATCTAACTCATGTAGTCAAACTGTAACAAGTAAAAAAAGATAAAATATGTACATATATAATAGTATAATATGAAATATACAAAGTTTATGCTTTGACAATTTTCTTAATACAAATCAAAGCCAAAACATCAGGTTTAATGAAAATGCTTTTGAAAAAATTAAGCAAAAGAGAATTTATGATGTTATATATTTTAGTTTTTATTAAATCAGAATTTTCTAATAAAGATAGTAATTATAGTTTGTATTCAAAAGTCCACAAATATTTTTTAAAGACCCTATACGAAGTATTTATAGTTTTTATAATATAACCATTTTTAAAAGAAAATTAACAATTTTTTAGCTATAAAAAACTCTCAAATTTTGATTGAAATCAGACAATCTCATACGTACGCCAATATGAGGCGTACATCCAGGAAGTTGTCCATCCAGGAAGTTGTACATTGTATTGACAAGTTGTTGTTAGGCCACAACGGGGCTTTAAGACATACGGCTGATGCGTTAAGAGTTATAGTGGAACGTAGGACTGTTCTAGAGGGAAATAGACCTTTGACATACAATATCACCATAACTTGTTTCATAGATGATGACTCCATCAAAAGACATTACCTTATTGAATGGCGTATTTATTGGCGGCGTGATTATGGTGATGTGGAGTTTGAAGCACACCTCATCTCTTTCCTAGAGACTTCTCCGGTTTCCGTGACGGTCCGTTCATACAATAGCTTTGGAGATATCCGAGGAACTGAGATTTACATTCCCACTCTTTTGGAACTGTCCCAAATTCCCAACATGAGTCATGCTATGTTGTGCAGACGACTTTTCTTTTGTGTTCCAAGACAGTGGAGGCCTAGAACATGGTGAAGATGATACGTGTTTATCAGTCGAGATCTAGGCCTGATAATCAATTTTATTGTGATGGATCCCGGATTTTATCATTAATGACAATGCTTTTGTGTTTGATTTGCTTCTTGTCTAAATCAATTACTGTTGAAAACAATAATGAGTATAGACTCTGTTTAGCCGTGTTAAAAAAAAAAAATCTCAAATTTTGAGGCCCGAATCCATAGGTTGAATGACAAAGCAACGATCACAATTGCTTTGGAGTTAAAACAGAAAATATGGCATTAAGCGGAAATTAGATTCTTATTCATTCATAAAAAAATTATGAAGTTTGTTTGATCTCTCTCACAATCTCTGTGTTGTTGTATATTTCGATTCATCTTCTGTGAAGAATCCTTCTCTTACTGAGATTCTTACATGGTGATTTTGAGGATTCTTTGTTTTATGAACATTTGGATCTCTCTGAAACTTGTATTGGATTTTATCCGCATAAAAGGTATAAGAGCAAAGACGATTCTCGGAAATCGAACATGGAAACTAGAGCTCAAGCAAGAAATGAGAAGGACGTGGTAGAGAGGATTCGCTGGGATCACGTGTTGACAAGCTGAAGATACAATCGCGGAACACCACACACTATCTGTAAAATTATGAAGCAAGAAACACACAACCTATTCGAATCAATGAATACTCTCAAGACTTGTGAATTACAAAGTATAAAGAAAGAAGATAACAGAACCAATGAGAAAAGATTAGAAGCTAACAGAACCAATGAGAAAATATTCAAATCAATGGACCTAATTTGAATGGATAAACGCAAAACATTTCTGATTCAATTGTGAGTAGTCGGTGCAAATCATCAATTTTGCATCAACCTGATGTAATCTTCAAAGCAACTTTCTTTCTTCATCAACTAACACCTTATATGATCTAACAAAACCTAATCTTGAAACAAAAACTATATACAAGCTCATGTCTTAGCATGTCCCAAAGTACAAAACTTTTGCAATTGTCATCTCTCAAACCTCAAGTAAAAAAGAACAAAGAACATCAAAAAAGCTTACATCGTTGTTGTTTATCATCATCTTCTTTCAGCAGACCTAAGACGGAGTTCTAAAAGCCAATTGTTAAACTGACCATCACTAACCTTCAACATCTCAGACAAAGGCATCAAAATCCCATGTTCCTTAAGCAACCTATGCCTTGGCTTTATCTTCCTCTCCAAGCTAAACGAAAAATACTGAGGGAAACGTTTCAGCTCCTTCACATCACCACGCATCTCCTCCATAAAAAACTCAACTTTAGGAACTAAATTGTTATCCACACTATAAGTCAACAACGCCGGAGATCTCACCACCATCTTCGCTACTTCTTCTCTATTAAACCCTAACCCTTCTTCAAGGTACTCAATTTTGGGGATTAGGGTTCGTTCCACATTTGATACGAGCAGAACCGTGTTCCGTGACGTAATCGTGTCGCGACCCACGAATCCTAGGGTTTTGAGAAACGTTAATGCAGGACGAAGCTGATAATCTACAGATGAAATTAGCAATCGAGGACAACGAGAGATCGATTTGGGAATATCTTGCTCTGAAATTGAAATCTCATCGGATAAGAAGCGAAGAACTGGTAAGATTTCAGATTCAGGATCTGAAGTTAACAAATCTGGAAACATATCGAGGATACGACCAACGGCGGGTCTTGAGAGTCCGGTGGAAGAGAGAAGAGTCTCGACGGAGACAACGGAGGAGATTGGAGCTGAACGGAGAGATGGGTTTACTCGGAGAGCTTTGTGAGGATCAACGTTAAGGTCTTGAAGGTAAATAAGCTTCTCTCGAAATAGAATCCCAGTATCTGAAGTTTCTCCGGCGAAACATCTAACTCTCACGGCGGAGAAACACGGCGGCGGAAAAAGAGAGCACCTTGCAATCATCATCGTCGGAGAGAAAAATAAAGTTTCAATCTTTTTAAGTGTGGATGGATAAAACAATGAAAGAAGGGTAAAATGGTAATTTTGGTGTAACGGTCAGATGACGATGAAAACGACGTAGTTTTGAAGGATAATGGTTTCTGCTTCTTCTTCTTCTTCCAATGGGGATCCCTATTCTCAAGCGGCTTTATCATAAGACCGGTTTTTGCGCAGAGTCTCGTGTTAACCGCAATCATCTTCTCTGTCTCCATCTCTACCTCTGGTTTTTGATTCTTCGTTTCGACGTTTCTTTCTTTCTTTCTTTCTTTCTCAAGAGGTCCTTTTTAAGATCTCGCTCATGGTTAGTATCAGCTTGGCGTTTGAATTTGCCTCTTTAGGTAAGTTTCCTTTTCTTCTTCCTCTTTCCTTTTTCATCTTCTTCTTCTTTACCCAACAATAGATTAAACGATTAAGGGTTTTCACAATCTCTCTGTTTTCGTCAGAAAAAAGATTGAATTTTTATTGAAACCCAAAGTGATGGAATTGAAATCATGATCTGGGGGTATCATAGATTGCAGATTCTGGAAACGTTTATGTTAAAGTTTTGATTTTTGTGTTGGATTGAAGAGAAAGCAAAAAAAAAAAAAAAGGATTTTTGATTTTGGTTTGATATTAGTTGGGAAATTAATAACAGGATGGGAAGGGTAAAATTGAAGATAAAGAAGTTAGAGAACACAACTGGACGCCAATCTACATTTGCTAAAAGGAAAAATGGGATCTTGAAAAAGGCTAATGAGCTATCAATTCTTTGTGACATTGATATTGTTCTTCTTATGTTTTCTCCTACTGGCAAGGCTGCAATATGTTGCGGTACACGAAGGTAATCTAATGCGTGTTGCTTCTTTTGTTGTCAACCTTGGATTGTGTTTTCTGAATGTTTATGATTGTTGATTGCTTGTGATTTTTCTTTAGTAGCATGGAAGAGGTGATTGCTAAGTTTTCTCAAGTATCACCGCAGGAAAGAACGAAAAGGTTTGGTGTTTTTCGGATTCTTATTGATATGTTTTTGTTTGTTCCTGCATTGTTTGGTCTTGTTTTTTACTCATTGGTTGCATTGTTTTTTGAAAACAGGAAGTTCGAGAGTCTTGAAGTAAGTTTTTTTCACACAATCAAATGAAGTCTTGTTTAATGTCCATCCTTGAGAATCCCTGATTCAATTGTTTCTCTTTCGAAAGCTCAGAACTTGAAGAAAACTTTCCAAAAGTTGGATCACGATGTAAATATACGCGAATTTATAGCCTCAAGGTATGTAGGAAGTAGGGAAACAGTTTTAACAAAATCTTTTGCAAGAAACTTTATAATCTCTATATGAATATTAACTTCTTGTCTTCTCTCTTGTTTGCTTTTGGTTCTTTGGTTTCAGTAATTCAACAATAGAGGTATTCACTTTAAGACTCTCTTTCCATTTCTCACGTCTACGACATTTGTCAAAGCCTATTTTTTTACAAAACCGCATTTTTTCAGGACTTGAGTAATCAAGCAAGGATTCTGCAAGCTCGGATTTCTGAGATACATGGAAGATTAAGGTAAAGATCTTGTTGAGGATGGTGATTCTTTGTTCTCTTAATGTCTGTGCTCTGTTTCATACTTGTTTGTATCATGTTCTGCAGTTATTGGACGGAACCCGATAAGATTAACAACGTTGAACACTTGGGACAGCTCGAAATTTCGATTAGGCAATCCCTTGACCAATTGCGTGCACATAAGGTATATTTTGTTTATAGCTTTTCCATTTCACTTCATCTGAGAAACAAAAAAAAAAAAGCTCTCAAAACTTTTTTGTTGGTAGGAACATTTTGGGCAGCAGCAACACGCAATGCAAATAGAAAACGCAAACTTTGTTAAAGATTGGTCAACATGCTCGGTAATTTACTCGAATGATTCTTCTTTAGTTCTCATTTGAAACAAAATAAATCGTAAACAGGCTGTGCAACTTTCAGATGCAAGATGGGATTCAGATTCCTTTAGAACAACAGCTTCAATCTATGTCATGGATTCTTAATAGCAACACCACCAACATTGTCACCGAGGAACACAATTCAATCCCGCAGAGGTCAGTGAAAACTCTCACCGAGAGAACTTTTTTGCTTTTAATTTTGAATCATATCTTAAAACAAATCTGTCTATACTTAAAAGGGAAGTCGAGTGCTCAGCGAGTTCTTCATTTGGGAGCTATCCAGGCTACTATGGAACAGGGAAATCTCCTGAAATTACAATTTCGGGTCAAGAAACAAGCTTTCTTGATGAACTAAACACCGGACAGCTGAAACCGCAAACAAGCTCGCAACAGCAGTTCATTAATAATAATATCACAGCATACAATCCCAATCTGCAGAATGATCTGAATCATCACCAAACGTTGCCTCCTCCTATTCCGCCTCCTCAGGTGTATATTCCAATGGCTCAGAGAGAGTACCATATGAATGGATTCTTTGAAGGACCACCACCTGGACTTTCTGCTTACAACAACAACACCAACCAAACCAGGTTTGGTGGTTCTAGCAGCAACTCCTTGCCTTGCTCAATCTCAATGTTCGACGAATACTTGTTTTCCCAGGTAAACATCTTCAAAATCAAGACTTTTTCATCTAGTGATTTGACATCAGTTTTTCCGTCTTACAGATGCATCAAAATCTAAACTTTCTCAGAGATTCAAAATGGGTTTTTGTTTCTTTGAAGTGATTTGACATTTATTCTTCTTTCTTACAGATGCAGCAACCGAACTGAGAGAGATTTGATGAATGATGATAAAACATCTCACTGAAGAAACTCACCAATATTTTTTTTCAGAAACAGCAAGAAAACAAAAACTTTGCAGATTTCTGAATTGGTTCCAAGAAGAAGAACAAAAACCAGTGGTAATTCTGGTAGATTGCAACCAAACCACACACAATACATGTTCCATTTTTTTCTATATCTTCAATAGATGTTTTGTGTTTACTTAATTCTTTTCTATACATAATTTCTCAATCGGATGAGATTTTTGAGGTTTTCCATTTTTTCTCCGGCGATAAAAGGTTAGTGTCTTTGGAGGCTGTCAAAGTAACGCCATGACAGCTAAAAGATGAGAATCTCTCTCTCCTTCCCTTCCTACAAACTCTAGCTGTATCTATTCTTTTTCATTCATTCATTCAATGTAAAACAAACAAAACAATGTTTATTAAATTTTTGTCTTTCTTTTGTCGTCAAAGTACAATGTTTATTAAGTGATTATACAAAAGTTTACAAGTGATGTAGAATAAGCTAAGGAAGCTCATGTTTATGAGGTAAGGAGACTTACATTAGATGATTCTTCTAGGAAAATTCTTCTCTTGTTGGTAATATGCATTGGAGGAGGCCGTAAAACGATTTTGAATCACCAAGAACTATCAACAAAGTCAACAGTATCTTTCACATTTGTTAATATCTTCTTAAAACGTTATAGTGACTTTGATAAGTAATATATAAAGCTTGACATAACCTGATTTTTTACATTGTAAGCACCATTCCTTGAATACATGAAAGCGGGGCAGACTAATTTGGGTGCACGGCCGTTTTTTATTTACCATTCATACATTTTGGTTCATATGTGAATAGAAATTTACCACGGATTAACAAATTGTTAATTTGAAAGAAAAAAGATTGGTACGTAGTGGATTATTGTCCGTTTTAAAAACAGAACGGTTCAGTCCGCAAACGGATTAATCCGCTCTGTTTATTTGTTACCTCGTAAGTTTTCAAAAGAGAAACATATATATTATGGATTTGGTTTGTTCTACTTGTATTTCCCGGTTCTATTTCTCTCACACTCTCTCTCGTCTTCTCCAATAACTAACTCCTCCAAATCAAGCCTTGTTCAAAATTTTGAGCTTAAGACCAATCTTGCTTTCGCATACCTCGTGTGGTTTCGTTTTCTAATTCGTAAGTTTCTCTTTTGTGTGTTTTCTAATCGACAACACTTCGTATCAATTTCAAATCAAAGAGATTGTAGAAACTTGATCTATAGCTTAATTGATTTCAGATTCGAAAATCGAAAATTAGTTGTTTTTATAAATTGATGTTTAAAGGAATCGAAAACCTAATTTAATGGTTCAATCGCTGTGATGTTATTAACCCTAATTACGTTAATTTTGGAATTAGGGTTTGTTTAGGAGCTCTCTGTATCAATGGAGACACAGCCGCAGCAACCACCTCCTCCGGTGGCTGAGAAGCTGAATCCGAAGTTGGAGAAGGAACTGAATCTAGAGTCATTGAAGACACGAGCCGTTAGCTTGGTCAAAGCCGTTTCTCGAATCCTTGAAGATTTCGACGCTTATGGTCGAACCAACACTACTCCTAAATGGTTCATCATCGAATCCAGATATTGATCTTTTAGGGTTTGTTTCTTGTTTATGAATTTTTGTAACAGGATTGATTTTTTTTTTTACAGGCAGGATATTCTAGGGCAATATTCGATGGTAAATCTCGAGCTTTTTAACATTGTGGAAGAAGTAAAGAAAGTTTCCAATGCGTTTGTCGTGCTTCCGAAGAACGTCAATGCTATGAATGCTGGAAGTATGGTCTTTTTTTGTTGTGGTTTTTAGTTATTGAATTGTGGGTGTGATGAACTGGTTTCGCTTAGCATTTATCAGTGAATCTGCAGTTTTACCGGTTATGTTGTCTTCCAAATTACTTCCGGAGATGGAAACTGATGACAATGCCAAGAGAGAGCAGTTGCTTCAAGGTGTTCAGAGTTTACCAATACCAATGCAAATTGAAAGGCTAAAGGTGTGTTGTGTGCATTTTTGTTGTGATTTATCATCCGTTTTTAGGCTTATACTGATTTTGAGAGAGTACTGTTGTGGTTTTTTTTTTACAGGCGAGGATGGATATGATTGCAGCAGCTTGTGAAAATGCAGAGAAAGTATTAGCGGATACTCGTAAGGCTTACGGATTTGGCACTCGTCAAGGCCCGTCTATGCTTCCAACTATGGATAAAGGTCAAGCTGCAAAGATTCAGGAGCAGGAGAGCATGCTTCGAGCAGCTGTAAATGATGGCGCTGGTAAGAGGTTTCAGTTTCCCTTTAACGCTTATCAAATCAGCAAATTCCATCTCATTATTTTTATAATTGTGTTTTAAGGAACAAAACTGCCTCCAGACCAGAGACAGATAACCACTGCACTTCCACCACATCTGGCAGATGTGCTAATTATCAACGATGCAGGTAGCGATTTCATTGATCTGTCTGGTAGAAATAAACACAATGCTTGATTCTTGTTTATTTTCTTACTATTACCAATGGCATTCTTACGCTGTTGATGGGTCCAAAATTCTCTTTCATTAGGTAAGATTGCATTACCTGGCCAATTGAACAACATCAACAATCAAGGAATGATGCAGGTTAAGTTACGCAACTACATCATTCTCTCTAGTTTTAATGATTATCACTTCTGTTAGAATTATTGACTTTGGAGGTTCATGTCTTTGTGTGTTTTTAGGTTTCTGGAACTCAGTTTATGGGAAGATCAGCTGCATCTCCATCTGGTCCTAATTTTGATAACACAACATCTCCCTTACCATATTCCAATTCTCCTCGCGCTACGGGTATGGTTAATGCGCCTTCGCCTCAGCAACAAATCCAGCAACAGCTTCAACAGCAGCAGCAAAGGTCAAAATTAATGCAGTTGCCTCAACATCAGCAGCAACTACTTGCACAACAACAACAACAGCTCAGGCAATCTTCTATGCAGGGATTGGGTCAGGTAGGGTTTAACATTTGCAGACGTAGCAATTGACAGTTTTTCCTGCTATACTGCTTTATCGGGAAACATGCGTATTCTTTGTGTAGAGTCAGATACCAGCACTTCATGATATGCATGGGCAAGCTCAGCAGAAGTTTCAGACGGTAAGAGAGATGGAACTACGACATAGTTAGGGAATAGATGCTGTGAAGCGAAAAGGATCATACCAAACCTATGTCAATTATTTGAATCATTAAGCAGTATAGTTAGATGACTAAAGTATGTATGCAAGTTAACATATGTCAAGTGAATGATATACTCTTGAAAAATGATCCTAGATATTCTTGGCACAAGCTTTTATATAAAGTGGCTGTGACAGTTCCTAGTTTCCAATGGTAGAATCAAATGAAACAAGTTTTTGTCTTGTTTAGTTTTTCAAGTTGAGTTCTATCTTATTTTTCAGTTACATGGGCAACATCAGATGCCATATTCCCAGCCAATGGCCGCGCACCAACAATTCCAAGCTAGACAGCTCTCAGGTGGACATATTCAGCATAGCATGTCTCAAGGACAGCTCAATCCAGCGATGAACCGTCACTTAAACCAGTTTTCAGGTGGAGCCAATAGTGCATTGTTTACTTCTGCACAAGGCTCCCCAAGTAGCCAGATGGTCAGTCACCTCTCTTTAGCCCTTCCGAATTGCTTATTCGAAACAATTACTAATTAAACTTTCTGGTTACTGGATTTGGTGTTGACTTTTTCTTTGAATTCTAGATACCAAACATGTCATCTATGCAATCTCAGACACTTGTTCCTAGGATGCAGGTTAGCTCAAATGCTCCTGTGTCCCATTGTTTCCCAAATCCGAATGACAAGCTTTGTCTTAATCTGATCACTTTGGATTTTTCTTGTTCTCAGCAATTTGGAGTTTCGGGTACCAATCCCCAAAGAAGCCATTCTTCTCAAATGTTGGGTGACCAGAGTAAGTAAACAAATCTTCTAAAAGATGGCTTGCTTACATTTAAAACCGATTGGCCAACCATTTCTTTTGTCCTGTCTTTGCAGTGTTTAACAGCAGCGGAATGATGCAAACTCAGCAACCGCAACAACAGCAGCAGCAGCAACAACAACAAGGAGGCTATGGAAATATGCAGACGAATCTACAGCCTAATAACATGATGCAGAATGCTCAACAAAGGCACCAAAATCCTCAATAATCAATCCCTTTTAAATAATTTGGGCTTGTAATAAACCGATGCCTATATTTGGTAGTACCGAAACGGGCCTGGCCCATTCTTCAACATTGATACACTCACCAATTTTCTTTAGTTTTGGTACTTCACTAATTTGTCGCTTGTGTGCGGTCTAAAACGAGAAACAGAGACCGGACGGTGGAGGATCGGTTTCTTTCTGTCACGTCTGTTGAGAAATCGACACGTGGCAATGACGTGGACATCTCGACGCCGTTGAATGGGGTTACAAAGACAAAACGTAGACGCGTTTCTGTTGTACACGGGACTCGAGACAGCGACGTGTCTATGATGAAGCTTACCTGTTTTCTGAAACATTTTAAACAGAGAGAGAGCTCCAAAACTGCGACTCGAAAGCTATTTAATTTTCTGACAAGTTGTTTTGTTTCTTGTCAACTAAATTTTATATACAACTAATAATATTTCATTTTATGTATTTATTAGCTCAAAGACTCGTTTAGTTAACCCCAACCAAACTTTTAAAATTTAGTTACCACTTCTTTTTTTTTAAGATGAAAAACTTTTTCGCTTTGTTTACTATCATCTGAAATCTCTACAAAAATCTTCCATCCATTCAAAGCATAATTTCTTTAAAAATATTTTAAATGAAATAAGTGCTTTGCTATATATATACCAATTTTGCACCGAAATTAATGAAACTGAACCAAATTATATTCAGTTTCTATCTCAAGTTCGTAGGTAACTAAATCGGAAACCCAATTCGAACCCCGAAATAGTAAAAGTTAGCAATATAATGATAGCCAATTCTGATTACTTAAACCTCAACAAACGATCACTTACAAAACTAGTGTAATTACCACTAGCTAAGAATGAGATTGGCCAAAAACTATAAATGCTTAACATTAAAAGAAAACAAAGAAAGTCTCCGGGAAGATTCTGACAAATGGCTTCAAAAATAAGAAAAGAATCTGACAAATGGGGGGACTTGCAAATTCTCTTGTCTCTCTCTCTCTATAATACTTTTGTCATGAAGTAAATGCAACACCAAGCTTCAGAAAATGAAACGGACAGATAGATAAAGGAGACAAAGCAGAAGTTGTGAAATGTCTCTTTATTCTTTAAGCTTCAAATGTTATAATCGAATATGGAATACAGCTTTGCATTTTCCTCCTTCACCGTCTTTTCATCTATAACATGACACATTTATTATCATAGTACTAAATTCCGAACCAAATAAACCACATCAGCCTAAATAATTCTTAGTTTGCAAATTTACATCCTCCATAAGCCATCAAGGCAAGGTTAATTACAGTCATGATATTCAGTTGAAAATATATGAAGAAAAGGCACTCTTGATATCATTATGGCAATTATTTTTCCATCAAAACCATTATATACCATAAGATTATTATTTTTGTTGAATTATATACCAAAAGTTAGTAGATCATTTTGTTAGGCTTTTAGTTTTTGATTATTAACAACCAAAAAAGTTGATCATAAAAGTATAAACAAGTAGGTCACTTTTTTTGTTTATTCCTAACTACCAAAATTAACAACAGTCAACAGTTCCATTATTTATTGATCTTTCCCTAGAATGTTCAATAATCACATGGGCATTGATTCTTATTTTTACTTTTGGAATGCTATTTATTTTAGAGTTTCAAATTCAAATTTTAGTATTCAGTAATACTTGCTTTATAATGTTCAAATACATGGTCATTGCCGCATTGGTGTTATATTGCATCTCCTTTTGGAATGATATTTTATTTACACCTTCCGTTTTCAATATTCACCGAAGTTTCAAAGTCAAAATTATTTACGTTCTTCAAAAAGAAAGGCATAAGCTTAAAATCACACAAAACACATAAATTTCATAGTAAGGTAACAAAACACTTATCAAAGCCCAGGTAAAGCTGATCTTAAACAACTTTAACCCTTACATGACAACTTGATAACATAAACCAAAACGACCCAAAAAGTAAAACACATGGCGGGTGGTGAATTTCCTCCTCTGCCCCTACCCACTTCTGCTTTTTTAAACCACAAGACAGAAGCTAGAAAAAAGATAAAACAAAATAAAAAGTGATAAAACAAAGGAACCCATTGGTGAAACATAGAGGTCCCTTAGACACACCACTCTACTACTCAATACCCACTTACTAAAACCCTAATCCTTAAAATGACCAAAAGAGCCCTTTTAAAATAAGCTCCTTTCTCCATTTTACCCCTCAGAGTCAAAGAAGAAGTTTTAAGGCTCTCCACTTAAAACCCTAAAAAGCCTTAAACCCTCTCTCTTTCTCTCCTCTTTCCTGAACCACTACTACACAAACCCTAAACTGCATAAAACTGAACTTAACACAATTTCAACGGAATTGACGGCCGGTGAAGGTTTGTCCAAAAGACCAACTAGCCGGAGCAATGTTGTTAGAGACGACGGTACGACCATCACTAGCAGTAACCTTAAAGGACAATGCTTGACCATTTAAAAGATTGTTGCTTTGCCAGTTTTGACCCCAGTTTCTTGACATTTGTTGCCACCTTGTTCTTGAACCTTTAACCGCTACAGAGTGAACATCTCCAGCACCACCAACATTGGTCACCAAAACCAGGTTGAAGTAAGAGTGGCCATTAATTGTGAACCTTATGCCTCCCCTTCTCATGCACGGAACCCTACACATAAAGCAAACAAAAAAAACATCAGTTAAATAACAGAGCCATTTGAGAAAAGTTAAATAACGAAACCAGAGATATAACTAGATTTATGAAGACCCATTTAGAGATTATTGATACCCAGATTCGAAACTGAATAAAGATTGAAACTTTCAACAAGAAACAGAGCAATTATGAAGATCCATAAAACTCTTAATTCTTTAAGAAACAGAGCTATTATGAAGACCTATAGCAAGAAATTTGATACATAATCAAGAAACTGCAAAAAGATTAAGACTTTGTAATTGTAACGGTAAAGATCTATGTTTACCTTCGGTAAGAAACAGGGACAACACCAGCTTTGTACTGAGCAATGCGTTGGAAAATCGGCTGAGAGAGATCAAAATGGTGAAGCGGAGGGTTACACCAACCACCAGCGTTATTGGGAAGAGCGTTATTAGGAGGGCAGAAATTGGTGGCTGTGACTATGATAGCACCAGGTAAACACCACGCGCCGTCGCTCTGACACTTGATCTCGAAACACGCGCCGCAGCTAAGACCGTTGTTGAACAGTGCGGTGCTCAACGCCGCCGTGTTGGTTCCGTATCCTTGACTATAGAGGTTCCCGTAGCCACAAGCCCCACCTAGAGACAACAACAACAACAACGACAACAAAAGTGTGAATTTCCTAGATTTAGTTTTCATTGAGACATTTTAGAGAACATATTGAAAGCTCTTACCCATTGTTCCTGAAGCATCACTTCCACCATAGAAGGTAGCATGAGCATTGACCCATCCAGCGTCATAACCATGAACAGAGCACACCATTACAGCAAATCCCACCAGAACAAATCCCAAAAGACTCATCTTTCCCCTGCAATTGAACAAATTTTCAAACAAAAATTAGAACTTTATACATTATAAGCAAGATAGAAATAAAAAGTTTTTGAAAGGAAGATGTTTATTACATGAACATTCTGTTTGAGAAAGTGCAGAGCTTTAATGAAGGAGAGTGAGAGAAAATGGAATGTGAAGGAGAAAGATAGCTGCTCTGCTTTGATGGGAGTGAAGAAGAAGGTTGATGGTTGAAGTGGAATTTATAGAATGTTTTGACCCCTTCATTTACTTTTTTAACTGTTTTCCCTAGGTTTTATTTATTTCTTACATTTTTATTTTTATCTTCCTTTTACTTTTAAAAAAAACACAAATCTCTGCAAAAAAATGTTTTATTTTAGGGTTTCGACGGTGAATTTATTATTTTGCAGCAAAACATACGACACAAGCCGAGCGCATGTACTTTGAAACATGGTTTAAGAAAAAGAAATAAAAAAATTGGTTATTTTGATAGTTATTGGAGTAAATAAACCCAAACATCATTGAATGTTTTGTTACATTTGTTGGCTTGTTCACCTGTTCTACACGTTTGACATTAATTTTCACATTTATTTTTATGCTTCGTTTTTAAACCGATTTACTGTTTCACATATAGAGAGGTAAACTTTGATTTTTCAACAAAAGTTTAAATTTTCAAATTTTAGGTTCTTATCAATGCTTAAATTTGACAAAAAGTTCGATTCCTCCACCAAAGCAAGCAGAAAAAAAAAGGTCGGGTTCTTTTCTTTCGTGTGATGATTTTCTATATATGAGGTATTTTAAAAAGAAATTTAAAATAAAGATTTAAAAATATAGCTGCAAAGTTTTGAAATAATCACGAGCATCCCTAAACAAAATTTGGTAGTGCTAGAGGGAGAGAGAAAGCACATGGGAGGGTCGCAGGCGGTTTTGATGGTTAGGAACTTTGGAAGCGTGTGACTTTTCTTCTGCAACCTTTTTTGCCTTTAGTATCCAAATGGGCCATCTTTTGTTCTTTTTTTTTTTCTTCTCTTTTAACACCATTTATTCAATATTTATAATATTATTAGTGGGTGAATACAAATAATTAATTAAGGTTCTTTATGTTAAACACTGGTCAATAAATACATATAGTTTTCCACTTATTAAGGGAGAAATGTGTAGAATTTTCTTAAGAATAGTACTCAAAATTTTACCATTTTATACTAATTTGTTATAGCTAAAATTAGTATTTATCGACATCTAATCCATCATGCATAAATACAATATGTGATGAGACATTCAGACATAGTATGTGCATTTCTTAATGCATAACGTAAGATATCTATCATTAGGCCAACTTAACCACCATGCATGTTTTGGTGGTGTGTAATAGAAAGACTAGATGTGTAAATTCTATTTTTGCAAATAAAAAGTAGACAAAGAGGACAACTTACTCGTTCATAATCATAGTGAATTAGTGATTGAACTTTGTTGAAATGAATCCTTTAAATATCTCATCAATCGCCCCATTCAATTTCTGAACATGTATAAGAGACATTTACCTTTTTTTTTTTTTTTTTTTTTATAAACTCTATCGGCTATCTGGTCGGCTCCGGTAGGAACGCACTGAGGTGCTACATAGTGGACTGGTCCACCGTGTTAACGGTTAGGCCCTTACGGGCTACCACTCTGCCTATCCCGAGTTTGGAATGCCTTCCGACTAAGTGCCAGAGGGTAGTCAGGTCGTCTGCATTTCTGGCTACCAGGTAAACCAATTGGGATAAGGCCCAACTGACAGACTTCCCAAACAAATCTGTTTTTGTTTCCAGGGAGAATTGAACTCAGGTTTGGTAGTTTCACCCTTACCCTCTAATGAAGTACATTTTTTTTCATATAGTGAAATACATTAGAGTAACACATACACGAATAATATAAGAATCACCATACACCATTTCATGTAATTGCCTTGCGACTAATTTTTTCAGCTATTTTTAATTTGAATGTTGGAAGTTTCATAAGAGACAACACACCAGTGTTTCAAGTGACATCAACCAACAACCGTATTTGATGTTAATTTACTTCTTAATAATAATCACTTCCGATCGAGATGTGTTTAAAAACAAGCTTAGAAAGGTCAAAATTCAAATTTCTACGCGAACATGTATGATGTACACATAAATATATAATCATGAATAATTTTCTTTTTATTGAAGGCATATATCGAATCGAGTAACTATTATTAAACATATTCTCTCCCTTTCATAATATAAGTCGTTTTAGATGAAAGCACACCGATTAAAAGGATTTACTTTTAAAAAGTTTAACCAATAATAAAAGTGACTGCATAATATAAATAATTATAAAATATTAAAGTAATACTCCATTCGTTTCAAAATATAAGGCGTTTTGGAGAAACCTTTTTGTTTCACAATATAAGTCGTTTTCAAGTTTCTATGTAAATTATATATTATTTTAATATTTTATGATTATTTTTATTATGCAGTCTCTTTTATGATTGGCTGAACTTTTAAAAAGTAAATATTATTAATCGGCGTGCTTATAGCTAAAACGTCTTATATTTTGAAACGAAAGGAGTATAATTTATATCGAAACTCGAAAACGACTTATATTGTGAAACAAAAAGTTTTTTCCAAAACGCTTTATATTATGAATCGGAGGAAGTATTATCAAAATATATGAAGATTCGAAAAACCAGTCTTTAATTCTAACCAGCAAGGTTGGGTTTATAAATTTCAGAATAATTGACCACATTGCATAAGGGCTTCTCCAACGTGACGTCATCCCACTATATTTGGTGCAAAGTATTCTCCAACGAGACGCCATGAACGACGGGATAATTTTTTTTTGGTGTTTTATGAATTGGTGTAACACTGTTCATAAAACACCAAAAAAAAATTATTATTTTATTTGTATTTTGATTTATATACTTTAATGAAATTATTATTTATCAACTAAAAATCAAATATACCATCAATTTTTGTATGTTTTTATTTTTAAAAATATGTACTTTAAAGTATAATTAATATGAATAATAATTTATACATAATTTTTAAGGAAATACTAAATTAATTAAAACTGAAAATACATATTAAAGTTCAATTAAATACTGACAACATAAAATTACAAAATTAAACTATTAGTATTTATCAAACTATTAAAAATAGTGAAAATCTAAAATTTAATAATTTAATAATACTAAATTTATTTTTGGTGTGAGATTTGGTGTTAATGGTTGTAGATGAAAAAAAAAGTAGTATACCAAAAGACTAAATTTTAACACCAAATTTAGTGTTTTGGTGTATTGTTGTTGGAGTTGCTCTAAAGCATGCAAAATGTATTTTAAAGGAGTAAAATTAATCATATCTTTTTCAAGGCTGCGTCACGGTTAACGAGTACCTACTATGATTTGCTGTCTGGAGCCTAGTCATTAACACCGTGATTTTTGGAGAAAATCGTTTTTTCTTTAAAACCCTAATCAGAATCAGAATCAGATTCACTAGTTCCAATGTGGTCAAAACATTTTTACTACGAAAAAGATATTTTTCTTCATCTTCTTATCAATTAAATTAATAAAATCGTAAAAAAAATTTGGCTTCCTCAAAAGTTGTGAAAGTTCGTTTGCTCTTATGACTTCCATGCAGTATTTTGCAGAGTCTTCAATTCTCAAATTTGTTTTCTTTCTTAAAAAAAAATTGTTACTATTTAAAATAATATACAACCTGTTGTAAAAGTCAAGGAAAGCTGCAACATCAAATACACATGCGTAAACGATCATAAAATAATATTTTGTGTGGAGCCCACCGTCACTATGCAGCATAGTAACTTATTTTTTCTACCTCTATATAAACGATCGAAATCGTTCGATGTAATTCACACCTTCACAACTCGCATTACTTCAATTATAAGAGAAGTAATAATCTCTCTCCCTCTCATCTCTTTATTATTCAGTATCCCGATCTTTCTGCGGGTATAATTTTCTCTTCATTAAATATTTATATATCCACCATAAAATCAAATACTCTTTTATAACACGTTATCAGCACGATCACTCTATGATCGCTGAAAAAAATACGGTATTATACCGGGCGGTATGTCGCCTCGTTAAAAGAAAAAATATGAGAAAAAAAAAAAAGAGAAAAGAAAATTATATAAATAAATAAAAGAAACTATATATGTATATATATGTTACTTCATGCACCATAATTAATTATTTTCTGTTAATGGTTGGCTGAGCCACCTGAAATTTTATTCACTGCTTTAAATATTTATTTCTGCTACCGGTCGGCTGAGCCGCCTTAATTTTATGTACTGCTTTAGATATTTATTTCTGTTGCCGGTCGGCTGAGCCGCCTTAATTTTAAGCACTGCTTTAAATATTTATTTCTGCTACCGGTCGGCTGAGCCGCCACATATATATTTACTGTTTCTATGTGGATAATTTGTCACCATAATATCACTGTGAATTATTTGTTTATATTATGGTTTATTCACCTGTATAAATATTTTTATCTGAATCGATAATTTTATCTGATTGATCTCTAATTTTTCAGATTAATTTTTTTTGTTTAAATCTTTTTCCGCCAACGGTCTCAAAGAAAAATTTCAAAATTTTTTCAAAAAATTCAACTTTTTCCAACGGCTAGGAATAGTATTTTTCAATCTATAAATTCATTCATTTTCTCATTCATTTCATCAAAACAAAAATTTTTCATCTCTCTAAAAACTCTCTCCGAAAAAAGAAGAAGAATTTTGAAGTTTTGAAGTTTTGAAGAATGTTTCGATTATTTTTAATATTTGTTTTTGGAATCATTATTATGTGTATCTATAATCTTTGCGTTGTAGATTTTACTCCGCAAGAATTTCGTTTGACCATTAGTTTACTTGTTTGTACGCTTTTTCTTTTTGTAATCGCTTGCATTATTAATGTAAACGGTTCATTTTAAATATATTTTAAAATAAATTAAATAAAGATTTCTAATAATATTCTATGTTTTTATTTTTAGAAAACAAATCGCAAACATTGAAAAGCTTAAGATCCAAGCTCTTCAAATCACTGGAGCAAATTACATAGCATGGACCACTGATGTGGAACTTCATTTAGATTCGCAGAATCTATTGGAGACGATAAAAGAGAAAAATGAATCACCTGCCAATGAAAAGGCAAAGGCGATAATTTTTCTAAGAAAGCATCTAGATGAAAATCTGATGCATGATTATGCAAATGTAAAAGACCCCGTGG